TTTTGTAAAAAGGGGCGATTCCTGTTGGGAGGAACATTTATCTTTAATGGAACCGGTTGATATTAATTTCACTGTTTAAGAAAATCAAATCAGGTAGCAACTCAAACAGGTGTACGAAATAAAATTACATTCATAGTAATAAGAAACACGCAGACACATACATATTTTATTCACAGATAATCACTGTATCTCAGCTCCTCAGTGTGACTGGACAAACGAATGCCTCAAGCCCAGAACGAAACCCAATCAATTTGGTGTCAGTCAGAGCTTCTACCATTGAGCCATCTTCACACGACCGAATGAGCCAGCCAAATCTAGCGTATTGTTTTTACAAACGTAAACAAACGCCAAGCATCCATAGTGCTCCACTCATTTTTACTGAAGAGCTTCGCATTAGTTTGTTCGGAAAATAATGTCCGATTTTAAAATAAGATTTTTAAATTGTGTTCTAATATATTATCATAATAGTTGTACAGAAATAGATCACTCATACTAAATGATTAGAGTATCTCCTTTGTTAATTTTATATCAATCTCTTTTAGAATGTTGTCCTTAAATATGTGACGCAGCCTGCGTATATACTGGAAAATAGTATTGAGTTGTTTGGAAAATAATGTCCGATTTTAAAATAAACATTTGCGTTTTAATATAATATTATGATAGCTACAAAGAAATATATTACTGATTGCTAATGATTAAAGTCGCCTCTTTATATCAATCTCTTTCAGAATTTAACTTAAAACATTATATGCCGCTCATCTTGAAGATGAAAAAAAGAAAGAAGTGATTTACTTTATTTGCATGAGTTCAAGCTTGGTCTTAATGCTTCTCAAACCTAATATCAATATTAACAGTGCATGGGGTGAAGGATCCGCTTGTGTTCGGACAGAACGGCACAGGTTTCTGAAGTTCCGCTGAGGGGATACAAGTCTTGAATATCAAGTTAGTAAAGAAGATTATCTGCAATTGACAACATCTGAAAATATTAATCAAATAAAATTCATGTCAAAGTATCAAGAAAAAGTCTGAGATAATTTCAACAATATCGAATCATCTCAAGAAAATTGGCAAAGTGAATAAACTCGATGAATGTATTCCACATGAACTCAGTGAAAGGCAAAGAGTTCATCGGGTTGGAGTCTGTTCGTTGCTGCATCTGCGAAAGTTGAATGATTCATTTCTTGATTGAATAATGATTCATCATGAGAAATGGATCCTTTATGACAATCGTAAACGATCGGCTCAATGGCTTGAACATGAAGGGCGAAAATACTTTGCAAATCCGAAATTTACCAAAAGAAAATTACGGTAACTTGTCTGTTCGTCCTTCATCTGCAATCTAATCACCGAATGTCATAAGTTTAGTCACTGTTTCACTTTGTCTCTCCATCCTTACATATGCCAATTAAGTATTAATTTTTTAAACACCCTATTTCCTTATGAAGTGTTCCACAATATCACATTGTCACGTTTTGAATTTAGGTATATGTCCTTTTAGCTTGTACGAAAATATCAGATTTTAGAATAAACCTTTTAATTGTTTTCTTATATATTATTATAACTAACTTAAAAGCACCCTATCGGGGGGCAATTAAGCTAGCTCCTAGAGAGGACTCTTGATTGGGCCTTCTGCTTGTTCAAGAGTTTGAGAGTCCTTTTCATATTCTTAGCATTGGAAGCTCTCCTGGCTGCCATTTGATCTGAGTTTTCTTTTCCTCACTGCAATCTTGGCACTTTTAATTGCAATCTGGTCCTCTGTTAGGATAGATTTCTTTTTGCAAGGCATGCTGTTGCTGTATGCAATTAGCAGCAATAAACTACAGAAGAACTCAAAATTGATCGCTGCATTTAAGTATTGCATTAATAAATTACCTTTTAAAAGTATATTAACACTCCCCATTTGTATAACTGGATTCAACCGGATTACGTATGTGTGACATAATAGGTAAAGAGGCTGTGTAGCTGTAACAATTTAGCAGACATGAAGTAACCACCGTCTCACCACAAAATGGGCAAACATGGACCTTCTTGCTCACAAAACAATGGAGTGCCAAAAGGAAGGTTTTTACCCAGGATGCCATTTCTATTTTAACAACTCCTCGGCAATGTTTAATTGTTTTTAAAATGCGATTTTTAGAATTGTAACAAAGCCTAAACATGTGATAAAAGTGAATTCATAGATTTTTTTTCTCATTGAGTATTTAAAACAAAAATATTAAACACTATTTATTTAATAGATTGTTTATTTGTAAGAATAATTTTATATTTACAACATTCTAAAAACTAATAGAATTATATTAAAACTAATGCAATGTTTATCATTTACCAATTTATAAAGAAATAAATATGAAAACAATTGCTTATTCATGAATTTATAAACATTTACTAAATTATTAAAATATATGAATCAACTCTAAGAAAATTCGTATTATTTACCATTTTATAAAGTTTGAATCAGTGTGCAATTAGACGATGTTTTGTCAACTGTTCTAATAAACAATGTAATAAATAAATAGTGTAAATAAACAATTTAATAAATAAATAAGATTTTTTGTCAATTCTCAAGAACCAAAAAAAATGTATAAATCCACTTTGATATGTTTAAGTTTTATTTCAATTCTAATCATCGCTTTTTAAAACAATAAATATTGCCGAGGGAGTGAAGGTAGTTAAAAATAAAAGCGGTGTCATTGGGAAAATCGTCCTTTTGACAATTTGTCTTTTTGCGAACACGAATGGTTGTTGAGATAGAGTGAACAGTTTATTTTCGAACACTCTATTTTCGAGGTGACGACTGTTCTTTTTTTTGTTTTTTTTTGGGGGGGGTGTATGCGAAGACAATATGAGTTACAGAGAGACATCAGCAGTCTCTTGAAAGTTGCATGCGTCACCTGGTGACGCCGGAAATAGACAACAGATGACAAATAAATATAAATATATCCACACAACGAAAGGTAACATTGCATTGAAAATCACCCCATTCAACGTGTCGTGTAGTATACATTGCTTTTCTTGGAATTTCGTAGATGTCGACCATCAAGGAGATTATTATTGAGGCCATCGCCTCATTTGATGTGCCACACTTGAACCAAAGAACATTATGATGGCAACGTAGGACGCGGGTATCGTGTCGCCTGGTCAGACGAGTCATGAGTACAGCTCTTAAGCTCTAGGTGTTTAGTAAAATGGTGATAGTTGGCTGACGTGTATTTAGTTGGAGTTTACAAGGACCACTAATGGTGCCGTTCAAAAATGCCCATAGTGTTCCAACTACATGCCTCTAATCTGACGGATTCCTCATCCGTTACTCATAGCAGTCATAAATTATATTGCCTTAGCGAAAATTTCATGACACTTCAATAGATTTATTCTTAGAATAAAAAAAAACCGTATCAAACTGGAACATTTGCCATAATTTTATATTCTTCTTCTCGGTCCAACTTTAGCTGTTTATTTCCTGTTCGGGGACGAAGATTATATGAAACCATTTTGGCATTAACATTCGTTACTATAAAACATTAAGATAAGCTCTTTTGCCTGATTTGTATTTTTTTTTAATTTTTTTTTATTTTTTATTGATTCATGTCCTACGGCTTATCAACCCTTCGCAGGTTATTTAAAGACAGAAAATATTTTTAGATAGTAAGAATGTTTTTACATAATAATAGATTAGTGATACAAATCTTACTAATTAACCCATAACTGGGGAGTGAGAAGAGGTGAATTCATACCTTTTACAAGTGTCTTTGCGCCTAAGTAATTATAACGAACTCAATGGGAATTGGAACTCGGTTCTCCAGTTTCCGAGCCATTTCCGAGCCATTATCCATTACATCTCTCTTACTTCCAAGCTTACAGCAGGGTTAGTATGGTGGTATTTGCCACACAGAGTTTATCGACTCTTCTGTGTTAGGAAGAATAACGTAACCTTCCAGTAGCACACCGGTACTAATATTAGCATTAGTGTAGCCATTGATACACTAACACTGAATACGAATATAGAAAGACGAAATACGGGGGCGTAACAAAGAAAACATTTAATAAGGCAAACAACTTACGTACATATATTAAAAAGATTTGGGCCCCTCGACGTGGTGTAATGGTTATAAAGCTTGTCTTGCTAGATCAATTACGACTGAGTAGTGAGTTCGATCCTCCCTGGGTGCCCCATAATTTCGGCCTTGTGCCACATCTAAGCCGGGCTTAGAAAATCGCTATTAAAAAGATTTGCAAGTGTCCCAAAACAAATTGTCCATATTGTCCCAAAGGAACGAGGAGGTTTACAGAACGAGAAAAAAATAACATACCAACTTTATGGCCTTTGATCATCCGCAGATAAGTGAATGGAAATGACTTTTTTTCTTTCGCTAGGCCGTGTACTTGTTGACCAGTTTCCACGTGTGTGGACACCCTGGTGGCCAGGGAGGTAAAGAGGCCGTTCCTCCAAAAAACGGAAGCAAAGACAAAAAAGGACAGAAGAGTTCTACTCTCTAAAGGGGCCAAAACTCCCATGAGTTCAACCCAAGGGAAAACAACTGTGGTTTCCCTACAAGCACCTAGTATTCGCAAACGGTCACCCATCTGGGTACTGACCAGGCTAGACGTTGTTTAACTTCAGTGATATAACTGTCAGCGTCTGGTTTGTGGAATTGTCTTTTGTGTTTTTAGTTTTCTGCTGGGACAAGAATGTTGATCGCTTTACTGCTGATCGCTTCACTACAGGAGGAAGCTGTAAAAATTGCGTTAAGGAATTGACTTTTTGGAGCTGTAAACAATAAATGTGCTGCTAGTGAAACGGTTACAGGCGCAAGGAGTCTGATGCATTCATTTTCGTGCCGTTGCCCTTGCGAAAGGCATGAATCCATTTCCTCTCCAGCCATGGGTTAAATAGTAAGGGTAGTCATGAATCTCTCTAACCTTAGGTGCAACCAGTGTAGGAGAAGGAAAAACTTGGATTCAAAACTGTGGAAAAGACAACCGGAAACCACTTCACTATGGCTCACGACCATATCACAATGAAACACTGGTTCTCGTATGATCACCGTAGTTAAGTAACGTGGAGCCTGGTCAGTAACTGAGTAAGTGACCGCTAGGGAATTCCGGATGTAAGCTTGAATGTGCGGTTGATGTAATGGATAATTGCTCGGAATTGTTAATTGGAGAGACGAATTCCAGTTCCTTATATTCACTTACTGTTGGGAAAGGTACGAATCAACCTCTTCCCCTCCAGTTATGGGTTAATTAGTAAAACATGTTTCACTAAATCACTATTATCTCAAGAAAATAGTCGAAGAATCTAAAAATGTTTTCTGGCTTTAAAAAACCTGAAAAAGGTTGATAGGCCGTAAAAAACGAATCAATCCAACCACTCCAAAAATTATGGCAATTCACAAATAAAGAAATGAAATCTGTAGAGTGCCAAGATCGCTCACGTCCTTAAAGGATATGGCATTAAAAAGATATTTAAAAGAAGAATGTCCTGTTCAGCAAAATTAGTTTATTGAAAGTAATTGTTGTCGCTGGGATGTTAATTTATGCAAGTTATGTGTAAGCTTTGAGAATAGTTCATTATCATTTCAACAGTAGTTAATTTTTTCCTCTGGAAAATTTTGTTTTTGTTACATTTTATTTTTAATCAAGCAAACTTTCTTTGTGTTCTGCATATCTAATCGATAATAATTACCAATTCAGGATTAAGTTGGTTACTGACTAGTGCATATATATATATATATATATATATATATATATATATATATATATATAATTATCATTTATGAATAAGTAATTGATCGTTTAAGTTTGACAATAGTCACATCTTTCTTGTGCCTTCGGATTGAAATTAAAATTCTCTTCAGCCTTCAGTCACAATCGTCGTCGACTTTTAAATTTCCATTTGTTTCGGCTCTCGATTCTGGTTGCTACAATTTTTGAAATGATTCATCGCACACACGCATGCGCGCTAAGTGTGAGCGTACATATGTAAAATATCAGACAAAACTGTTCGTCCATTTTCGTTCGCGTTTCCAGTTGACGAAGTTAGAAATTTATCGATCGAAATGTTGAGGAAGAAAAAAGTTTACATGGAGGCAAAAAATAAAATGACGTTTTTCTTCGCCATTCTATCAATTCTCTCTGTCTTTCCGACTAATCTCGCCATCTGTTTGTGTGTGCGTGTGGTAAGAACACACACGCAAACACACACACACAAACAAACAAAGAAGCAAGCCTTATGTGAAAGCTGGTAAAAGCGTCTTCTATTTTTCTAAAACTGAAAGTTGCCCAGCACGTACAGAGGGATTTGTTATGCATGCGTAGGAGAATATACGCCATATTTCTTCAGTTAAACTTCAGCAGAATATCTATGTGTAAGAACATCGATTCATTGGTTATCTTCCTAAGATTCTCGTTTGTCTGCAAGGTAGATAATGCTGGTGTGCAGGTGGTGTAATAGCGTGAAATGAGAAATCAGCGGGACAAGTTCGAATTTCATGAGGTATCTCTTCTCCCCCAAGTATGGGCTAAGTAGCAGGGCCAACTAAGTTCAGATGTTTGAGAGCTGCAAGACATGAACATAATTTACACATACGTTTTTATTACATACACATTAACTTCCGTTTAAATCAATGAGATCTCAATTCATATCAGTAAAGCCTGAAGTTTTTCTTATTTACCTTTTATATTAACTGTAGCGAAAAAAAGAAGCTCAGCCAAGATATTTCCACGAGCCCCACGAGCCGCAAGTGGGTCGCGAGCTTTGGTTTGACCACGCCTGTTTTATAACCTTTGCTGACAGTCATTTTAGAGATGGTGAATCAATAATCCCAACCCTTGAAAATGCACACTGAATGAAATTCATCAGTCGTGTGAGTTGTGCATTCTGCTACAGATGGAAGATGTTAATGGTAAAGATCATATTAACAGTTTCTTAATAAGGAAACATTCAGCATTTTCTGGCGGAGCAGCTAGTAAAATTATTTTTCAGGAAAATAGGTCTCTCAAGTCCAGTAGCTGTTATAGATCTTTCTAGTATTGATGGGGGTTTCCTTCTTAACCATTTGTTTGTTTTTACTTTTCTCTTCAAATTAGATGTGATATCTATTTTAACTGTTGCTTCTGTTTGAAGTCCCCATGTGATTTCTGTTATTTGGTACAGTTCTCTGTTTGTGAATCTGTAGCGCCAGTCTACAGTGTTTAAAGATTAATGCTCTTCGCCAGCTTCAACAAGCTTCACGCGCTCAAAGTCAATTTAACCCTTGATTTTAGAAAGTGGTTGTATATAACTGATAGTTTAGATATTTCTGAAAGTGATTACGATTACGATAATAGGCATGAACACATTACTATTCCAAATATAAACATTTTTTTTTTAATAGCAAGAACTTGTCTGGTGATTGATTAAAGAGGAACAATGTCACTAATTCGTTCGCAAAATCTTGGTCACGCCAAATAAAATCGTAAAAATCAAACTAAAAATTAGAATATTTTAATAAAATTGAAACTGAATTAATAACGTAAACTAAAAAATTGTTTTGGCCTGAAACAGGATGAAATAAAATGCAAATCTACATCGTTTTTGTTTGCTTCTTTGCTGCTAAATTCTTCATTACATTAGCAGAAAGTCCGTTTCATGCTGGTGTATAATTTTAGATAAGCATATATGGACTTCTCCCTCCCTCCCTCCCTCCCTCCCTCCCTCACTCACTCACTCACTCACTCACTCCTTACACACACTCAATCACTCATCACACACTCACTCGCACAAACCCTCACTCACACATTCACTCACTCACACACACACTCACTCATCACACACTCACTGACTCGCACAAACACTCACACACTCACTTACGATCACCGAAGTTAAGCAACGTCGAGCCTGGTCAGTACTTAGACGGGATACAATATGGTAATACCCGCTGTTGTAAATTTGGAAGGGAAAATCGGAGAGAGCCGTGCTTGAAATCCAATCCTGTTTGTTACATTCACACTCTCGGGAAATGTTTGAATCAACCCCCTTCTCCTCGCTCCAGCTATGGGTCAAATAGTTGGACTTGTATTGGAAAATCATTAGTATCGCAAAAAATTGTTAATACAATATTCACCCGCAAAAAAGAAAGAATTGTTCTTAAAATCACAAATATGTTTAAATAACCTTCAAAAGGTTGATAAACCGTAAAAAAATCAATCAATATCTGTATAGTGGGCATGTGTAATAGTTATTATTGAGCAAATTGGATTTGGAAGACAGAATTCAAACTCCGTTCAAATCTGTTTTGATCACCTCACGTTGATATCCTTTTACAAAGACAGAGTATATAAAATATAAATAAGGAAAAAGTTATAGGAGTCATTATTTAAGCATACACACAAATACACAGAGACACACATTTCTTTCTTTTGTTTTTGGATCTGATGAAGCCTAGAAAGGCGAAACGCGTAATCAAATCTACAGGTGGTCCGATATATATATATATATATATATATATATATATATATATATATATATATATTATATTATATTATATATATATATATATATAATTATTTTATAAAAAAATTTATAACATAAGTATGTTATAAAATCACTACAAAATAGCCATTTTGTTTCAACACACTCTGTGTCTTATCTGCTCTACTTTGTATTGAGCACTCTTTTAAAAATAGTAATTGTTGGTTATTGGAATTCATTCCATGTATACCAATTATATACTTTGATATATATATATATATATATATATATATATATATATAGTGAGTAGTGAGTTCGTTCCTCACTGGGTGCCCCCTAATTTCGGCTTTGTGCCACGATATATCTGTATATATATGTATGTGTGTGCATGTGTGTATGTATGTGTATATATATATCTGTGTGTGTATATATGTATATATCTGTATGTGTCCTATTTTATTGTGTATGTATATTTATATTTAAGTATATTTCTGTTTGTATGAATGTGTTTATATATTTATATGTTAGGGTATATGTATATTGGTGTGTGCTGGTATTTGAATGTATATTTATGTATGTATATGTAAGTTTATATATGTATTTGGTTGAGTGTTGTTGTATTTATATGTATGCATGTATATATTGGTACTTGTTATTATAGATAGATATATCTATATATATGTTTATGTGTAGATATGTATGTATGTGTGTATATATATTTATGTATGTTTGTGGTTGTATATGTGTGTGTTGACACCTATTATGTATGAGTTTGTTTGTGTGTATGTGTAAGTATGGAAACTTTGGTATGTCATTACTGCCACAGTAATTAGTCTATGTGTATATATATATGTTCATATATGTATTGGTGCATGTATGTATATTGGAGCATATTTTTATATATGTGAGTATTTGTGCATAAAAATGTGTGTATATATGTGTGTATTTATGTTTATATGTATATGTGTGTGTATGTGTATTTGTTATCATAGATATGTATATGTGCGTATATGTTTATGTTTATATATTTATATGTATGTATTTCTGTATGTATATGTATGTGTGTATGTTTATGTGTGTTAATTTGTGTTTGCTGCCGCGTGTATATATATATGTATATGCGTATGACTGTACACTTATTTCTGTGGGTTTCTTTATCCTGTTTTTCTTTGCCTAATATATAATGAAACTATTATCAACTTATATGATTAAAATATATTTTTTATTGATATTTGTGGTTTTGGAATTTTCGTTTTAATATATTAAATAATATTATTTTTAACCATTTTTATCTTTGTATATTTGCTCCCTTAAGTTAT